CTGCATCACCCTTAGAACCCCTCGGAACCCCGCGTCGCCCTCGGAACCCCGCGACGCCCTTGGAACCCGCGTGTCACTCTCTGAATCTTTAGTGGAAATGTCTGTAGCAGTAATGAGCCGATTGGGATGATGGTAATCACGTTATTAATTCTAGTTGCCATTGCAGGGTAGATATATAGATACGATGTATAATTATCATGCAATAGTAATGTTATGTGAAATACTGGTGGAATGATACTATTAGCTAGTAGGGAAAGCGTTTAGAGAAGTTTGTCTGTGGCTTGTAATCTATTCAGCTGGTAGTAAACATTTTCTAATAATGGCTTTGTGTTATCCTTAAAATGCTACAAGTTCCAACTGTCATCAATAGAATTTATTTGTAAATAGTTTGTAAATATTTTTCAATAAATAAAAGAAAATGTTATTTATATTAATATAAGAAATTATTATTTCTTTTCTTAGGACTATAATTTCTGTTACAACAAGTCATGATTGCACAGTAGGTAAATTGGTAATGTATCCGATTCTATACTTCGTATAGGACTTACTAACTTAAATATCAATTTCCTTTTTTATGATCATTCAGATAACATTTTCCTTATCTTTTATCTTTTTCCTTGTGCATTGGACCAAACAATCAAGAGTTGGAGTTATACCTCCATAGTTGATATTAAAAGCCATCATAAACTTTCTTGATTGAAACATTACAACATTTCAACTCCACATAAATCATTTATACAAATTTTTGGCATAATTGCATTGATGGGAACTCACAAGAATATCTGAATATGTAAAATGTATATAGACATAAACAATATAGAATATCACAATATATGTAAAAACACATGCACACACACACATGAATTTTAGAGATCATATATATGAGTGGCATTTGTCAAATCGGCTAGTTACTTTTTTACATCGCCCACAAGGGACGTTTTATGTTTTTTATAATTAATTAAAACTGGTATGTATTACCTCACATAATCCGTTACATGTACACCAATGAAAATTCTGTCCAATTATAATTAGCCTTGCAAATAAAAATCTGACGACCTCATTTCCATTTTATAAAAAACTATAGCTCTTGTTTAAAAACAGAATACCAACATTGATTACAGAATTCATGTGACTGATGACTAGTATCCATCCTTCTGCCAGCTATCGTATAAGTAACTGATTATGATCCACAGAATTTATGCCTCATCACACGAAGTGTTTATGTGTGACTGTAAAAATAATCAAAATAAGCATGTGTGGGGGCGTGTGAGTATACATAATTTGAGCTGTCTAGAAATATAATTTCCAAATACGAAATTACATGCGCATTTCCTTCACAGCGACGGCTTCACGAATTTCTGGATCTGTGATCATACGTATAAGATTCAGATCTCTCTCATCTGCACCAAAATATGCCAGATTATCGAGAGTAATCACTAGGAAAACATCGTTTCCTACAACCTCGCTGACAATTGGATCCTGTTTCAGTAGTGTACCCTTTTGTGGCTTGGCTATCGCGGGAACACACATTAATATTCTCAAGGTGCCCTCCTCGGCCTGCAAGGCCTTGCAAGCAGCCACAGCCTTGTCCTTCCGGTCATTCGGTATTCCTGGATTTCCGTCCTTTTGGGTCCGATCGTAGAGGTTGCGCCAGTCTGTGGTCTTCTTCCCCTTAAACAAATTGTAATAGTATGCATCACAATGGCATCAGCACCTGACAGTTTCACAGCACAGCCGTTATCTCTTAAGCCTAGCGCAGACCTGTGACGTTTTCATGCAACTCGAGAGCGATTCTCGAATTGCTGTAAAAATTGCTGTGAAATCGCTACGGCTGCCGGAACGTGCAACTGCAACCCGTAGCGATTCTGGTCACTTGCGACGAGTTGCAAGAAATCAAACTTGTTTGATTTTGAGTGACTATAGTCGCTCCCAACACGCGGTGACACATCGACCGATCGCTTGCAGGTTGCAGATTGCTGCAACGAGCAACCAAAAATCGCAGGTCTGCACTAGGCTTTAACAGTGTTCACTGGTAAAGTTGAACAATCGTATGCGCACCGATACAATTACGTGTGTACAAAACTTACATGCTGTGCAGTGTTCGAGCTCACTTTACCATCACTCGATAGCTTTACTTGTGCTAGGCACAAACGTAGTCTTCCTCGTGCTTGTCCGAGTCTAGCAACAGCATTTGACTCGCCTGCCATATCTGCAGTGTCACAGGTTGGTAGTACCTATGTGAGAAATAATGCTCATTAAGAACTAAAGTTATATTCGCAGACTGGTTCACACACGACAACAATTTTTACGTTTCGGCATACGAAAAAACTGAAAATAGTCATTCCGCTAAGTCCAGTTACTGTATATAAGCTAATTCACTCGTGTTACTATATATACACGTGTGTTATTATGATGCATATGCATGTGTCTTTACAAGATACCCATACCTCACCATATTGGAGTAATTCGGAAGCATCTTCATCACAATTATAACAACCATTGGCTGTGACACTTAGGGCATCTGTGTTGTCTTGCTTGATGATGCAAGAGGATGGGACATCAAAGATACCTTTACCAGTGTTGAGCGTCATTGGGAAATCTTCAGACTTTGCTGCGTTACCGTTACCCTTACAGTTCTCTAACATGCTGACATCACTAGACTCTGCTGAGTTACCGTTACCCTTACAGTTCTCTAACATGCTGACATCATCAGACTCTGCTGCATTACCGTTACCCTTACAGTTCCTAACGTCCTGACATCACCAGACTCTGCTGCGTTACTGTAACCCTTACAGTTCTCTAACGTCCTGACATCATCAGACTCTGCTGCGTTACTGTAACCCTTACAGTTCTCTAACATGCTGACGTCATCAGACTTTGGCTGCATTACGTTACGCCTTACAGTTTCTAACATGCTGACATCATCAGACTTTGCTGCATTACCGTTACCCTTACAGTTCTCTAACATGCTGACGTCATCAGACTTTGCTGCATTACCGTTACCCTTACAGTTCTCTAACGTCCTGACATCACCAGAACTCTGCTGAGTTAACGTTACGCCTTACAGTTCTCTAACATCCGTGACATCACTAGACTCTGCTGAGTTACCGTTACCCTTACAGTTCTCTTAACATGCTGACGTCATCAGACTCTGCTGTGTTACTGTAAACCCTTGACAGTTCTCTAACATGCTGACATCACCAGACTTTGATGGCGTTACTGTAACCCTTACAGTTCTCTAACATGCTGACATCACACCAGACTCTGCTGTGTTACCGTTACCCTTACAGTTCTCTAACATGCTGACATCATCAGACTCTGCTGTGTTACCGTTACCCTTACAGTTCTCTAACATGCTGACATCATCAGACTCTGCTGCATTACTAGGTAACCCTTACAGTTCTCTAACATGCTGACATCATCAGACTCTGCTGCATTACCGTTACCCTTACAGTTCTCTAACGTCCTGATGTCATCAGATTCTACGATACTACCAAAACATTCACAGTTTTCCGACATGCTGACATCATCCAATTCTGCAGTGGCATGATTATTCTCACGGTTCTCTGATAATGGAATGTCAACTGACACTGCTGCATCACCAAACTGTTTACAAATCCCTGACATAGTACTGTCAACAGTCGACTGCAGAGTAGCAAACGGTGGCTGTGACCCTATAAAAGTAATACACATTAAATTATTTATTTAGTCACATTACATCAGGGGTTAATAATGACAAATTTGTCATTATTAACCCCTGATTACATTTAATTACATTTTTTATTTATTTACATTAAATACTGTAAGTCATGAGAATATCCTATGTAGGATATGTACGGTACTGGTAATAATAAGAACAGATGCTCATGAATAAAGTACAAATTACATATGAACATTTCATGTTTCCAAAACAATATCACACACCAGTACTTGACAAAAAATCTGAATTGGTGCCACATTGCTGCATTTTAAGAAACATGTATGCATGTGTGAAGCCAATTTATGTTAGAAATGCACGTATAAAAATGTTTACAGTTACTTTACAGAATAAGTAACCGAGGCTGTGTCATGAATAATTGAAACGGTGTCAGTGTTACATTTGTAAAGGACATCACTGTGAAAAAGTGCAGTGTACAAGAACATGCCATAAGTGTATGAGGGAATGGGGCAATGCTAGGCACACCTGTAATCTGTGGTAGAAATTCACCGATTGGCAGAGAGTTGGTCACTCCTTCACTCCGTACAGGTGAATCTAGCTCTTCCAAGTAGAAAATCAGGTCTGGACCTGCATACACAAAGTGAGGAATAAATAGACCGCCAACATTCAACTCCTTGCTACGGAAAGCAGTTAATGTAGGCAACAGTGTGATAGGATAAATCAAGTGGTTCTTAACATTTTAAAAAGAAAACCATAGATGTATGTATGTGTGTATTTCAACAAAAAATTGTCATATTATGTATTTTGTATTATGCATTTAGACATTTCAGGGCATATTCTTTAAATGAGATGCAAAGAAAATGTAAAATAAACTATAGCAGTTTGCAGAAATTTAAAATTTTGTTAAAAATGAGGTAAATTTTTGAGTAAGAAAGGAAGGACAAACCAGCATTTGAATCTGGGAAGACAAATTGATGTTTTGGTTCTGTCAAGTATTTTCCTGTGCCTGTTGCTGAGGCACAATTGATTGATTTGCCATTTCCAGGCCACAGTCTGCCAAAATAAAATCAGCATTAGTAATGCAGTTTCTAGCCAAGCCTATATAAAGCTACAGAATTTATTCCAATTATAATTTACTTGTATTAAGAACATTCCAATGCTAATATAAATTAAACATGATCAGAGTAGCAAGATAATATCAAACAGGAATAGAAAAGAAATTCCCCAATAATTGAACATCGTTTCTGATATCACTAGTATTGCTTTTTACCCATTTTATATTTCTAGCTCTTCCTGCATTATTGCAGTACTTGTATGTTTATTTTTATATTTATTTTGCCAATGTATCTGTGATATATGTGAGCAATAAAACTAATTTGAATTTCAATCTGAATTTGAATTTCGATATGGTACCAAACACCTGATTTAGACTCTGTCATGTTGTCATTTACACACACTGGTCTTATCTTGGCATATACACACATATTACTGCTGACACGAGCTTTTTTTGCTTTGCTCCTTCACTGGAGATAAACTCCCTCTATCCTAACTTGCACGCGCACGTGTATTCGAATACTAATTCGCACGTGCACGCGAATGTGCTTACCGGCAGTTCTGCAGCCAGGGCGGAAGGTCTTTGATTCCACGGAACAGTGGATGCGTGCTGACATCTATTGGCTCCATGTTGAAGCTTTTGCGCACCCACCCAGGGACAAACATCTCAAACAGAAGGCCACGACTCTGAGGGCCAATCAGTGGATTCAGGAGCAGGTCCTGCACCCACTCCTCAATGTTGCTGTAGATTCCTGCAAACATTACGACGCTCACACCTGACACGAACGCTCTCGCGTACGAATCGGGGGACCCAGGAACAACATGAATTCTCGTGTCGGTACGCGCTGCATATATTTAGTTACCGATTCTCTCGAAGAACTTTTTTATGGCGATCACGACAAGAGGTTCAGTGATCTTAGCCTTTGTGAGACACCCGTGCTCATTGTCGATTTCTACGTAGCAAATGCCTCGGTCCACCAGGTTCATCTCCTCAGGGCATGGCAGCAATAAGGGGCCATTGCTTAGATAATATGCGACTACCTGTACACCACACAAAAGAACATCCGTGTCATGATTGAAATGAAAAGCGGCAGCACTGCATTATAAGTAACAGTCGATACGTGTTTGTATTACTACCTGAAACATGACACTCACTACAGACAGATTTAGAATCCGCCTAGGTGCGACCAGCAGGGGGCTGTAGCGAATCAGTGCTGTGATAGAAGATTATAAAAGCTATGCGAAGAAACATAGTTCTGCAAAGTCGTCACTTTGGTGTGCACACGTGTCAAACCACCTACGAACCAGGGCAGCTTGCCTAATCTTGCAACATTACACAACGTGTGAGAGGTGCGGTTAATCTCGCTTAGACGGATAAGTCGACTGCCATCGTCCCACACCAAGTACGGTGCACCCGATCACGCATAGATACCATAACAAGTGCCGCAGTGCGACAGGGCTCATCTGGTGTCGGGTGTTCTGCTGATAAATTCATTTGTGCATAGCAAGACGTCTTATACATAAGTCTTCTTTATTCTTGTTTGACTTTCGTAGCCAATTCGAACAAATATATCAGCTACACTTTCGCACCCACCTAATTTCTATGCATTGCAGCCACATGTGCATTGCATGTTGGCAGGCAACAATTATGATTAGAAGTGTGCCAGCCATGGGCTGCCCCGTGTTTTTGCCTACCCACGCGAGCATTCACTGATTCAGCCTTCAGGGTGCTATAGACAGACTGCTTTAGAAAATAATATGATTTAAGGAGCGTAAACCTTGTTCAACAAACATTTGCCTTTGCAATTAAACTGTGCAACTGTAGCCTCACATTCACACAGGTATGGGCTCTAATAATAGCAAAAGCAGTTCAGTCCTTTGTTAACAGTCAACAAATCAATGTTTAACCCTCCTCTTGAGGGTCAAAAGGTTATCCGACACTTACTCTTCGCACGTCAGCGGAAAGCATATTTCATGGTCCTTTCAATAAAGCCATAAAAATGGTAGGTCACCGCTGAAACAAAAAAGTTTTTCAATCGCTCCGTCAGACCATGTCCTCAGAAAATGTCTAAAATCTGCCCTGTGCCTATTGACCTTTGACCTGTGACCTCCAATTTCGGCACAGTGATGGCTTTTCCTACCATGATGCTATACACCAACTATCACGAGCCTAGGTCGAGCCGTTTAGATTTGTGCCGCAATTCTGCATTTCCTCCCTATACCTTAAGTTAAGGAGAGAATGTTCTTTTTCTTTTCTTTTCTGAGAGATGGACGAAAATTTCGTCATTGTAAGTAATTAGAACTTATTATGGATCTAACTGAGATAAACTTTATTTTTATGTGAACTATAGAGATCCGATGAAATTATTCAAGCAGAGATACCAGTTTCTCCAGCAAGTTGATGACATCAGCGCGGCCACCTGCCACACGAACCAGGGTAGGCCGGCCTTGCTCGTCCAGCTGGTCCAGCTGGTAACCTGCGATGCATGAGTGAAAATCATAATCAAACAATCAGAACTAATCGGAATAATAGATGTCGTATAATAGCCGATGCAATAGTCGATATTAAAGCGGCATATAACATCTGATCTGATTGATGAGCAAAAGAAATACGCACCTAGTGATCGCTTATCTCGTATGTTTTTTCCCCCGATAAGAAACGTCTTGGCATCATGTATTGACTCTTCAATGATCTCGTCTTTATCGGTTGCATTATGGCGTAGTACGTGGCTCACAAAACAAGCGAGAAATCGTGGCCGCCCTTTAAAGATATAGTGTAAATTGCAATAGTCGGAAATTAGTAAAACATGTAGTTTTGAGGCAAGAAAACTGTATGGATTTACATGTTAAATATACATAATATAACAGCACAGAATTTTTTAACCATTATCAAACAGTGCATGTGCCCATACTGAAATTTAACTTCTGTATATATATAGCTGCACCACTGATAGTCAGTGATGAAACCAATTATATGAACTAATAACTGCAATGTGTGTAACTAAATTATAATTAAGGTAGTTTACCTTGAAACAATTCCCTGATATCTTTCAGAAACCTTCCGGGACTCATAAACTTCCAAAGATATTCCTGTATTTTATTGTCTGTGTCATATCTGTGGACATGTTAATGATGTATGAGATATGCATTGTTCCTTATTCTCTGACAGAAGTCATTTCAAACGAGTGCATCGATATATTAATTTTAATGATAATATGAACCATATATAAATGATTCATCGCTTATACACCACTTCTCATAACCCCATACCCACACGCACTTGAACCATTTCCGAAAAATAAACCAATACTTCTCATGTTCTCCTTCCGCACCCTCCCTCCCATTCATCCTCTCCCTCCCCACCCTCCTTTCCGGTCACTCTCTCTTTCCGCACCGACCTGCTCAGTCATCCTCTCCCTCCGCGCCCTCCCTCCTGGTCACACCCTCCCCCTGCCTCCATCCGTCCACGCCCTCCCTCCTCGTCATTCTCTCCCCGTCCCCATCCCTCCCAGTCTTTCTCTTCCTCTACACCCTCCCTCCTGGTCACTCCCCCCCCATCCCCATCCCTCCGTGCCCTCCCTCCTGGTCACACCCTCCCGCTCCGCGCCTTCCTTCCCGGTCACACCCTCCCATCTTCGCTAGCTTCCTCCTCCTCCTCACCTGTAGAACTTGTGAAACACAAGGTCCTCCTCCTTCGTGTCCTTGCCGATGCAGGACTTCATCAGCTCCTGGCTATCGCTGAGACGCAGTGCCGTGCCGGCAAGGAAGATGTTCATGTGGTCGAGGTCGCTCAACGTCTTGAAGAAGTGGCTGAAGAGCGCGCGTCCTTTATCGCCGGCCGTCCTGCTCACAAACTTGCGCTCGCAGCTTTTCAGCAGCACGTGCGCCTCGTCCGTGAATACGTACAGGTTCGACTTTGTCTTCTGGAAGCGGGCGTCGGTGACGAATTTCTTCAGCAGATCTGAGCGAAGTAAATACAGTGTAATACGGAATTACGGTGTTGTCTAGTTACGGTTATTGTCTAAGTAATTACGGATCCCCGTTAGTTTCCTTACCAAAAATCGTGCTTTGCAAGGGTTAGGAAACGTAGCTAGTGAAGGAAATTTATCTACGATGGTTACTCTACGCAGTGTCAGCGTGTGATCACAAGGCCCTGTACATTAACACTTCCTCTTTATTACACAAGTAAAACTAAGCATAGGTAAGACTTTCCCTATATTACGTAGGCGAGAGACGTCTCTATTCTTAAGACATAATATTTTTTCAGATCGCCTACATCTCGTATTATCGCCTGAGGCAAGAAGCGATGCGTCAGTTATGACAAAATGTAGCAGAAATGAAGTTAACGTGGAGCGATACCTTCAACTTCATCCAGGACGACTTCCGGGTGACATTTACTCAGTTGCTCAAACACCTCCGTGAACAGCACAAGGTTGTTGCTCGTCAACAGTTGGGGTGCGCGCAGCTGAGCAAACAGCCAGCTGCGCGGCTGCATCGTGGTGCTCGCGTCGCAGGCCAGCCGCTGGCAGTGAAACAGCAGCAGCAGACGCGTGAGCACGAGCGCATGGATGAGATGCGTAGCGATGCTGGTGAGATTTTCCTTGTCGTACTCCGCCTTCATGTGGATCTTGCTCTCCAGGGGTTTCATCTCGGGCGAGCCGGGCTGCTGGCTGCCGTACGGCTCAAAGTAGAGACCGTAGCGGGTGGAGAGAACCTCGAATATCGTGCGAGACTTGCCGCAGCCCGACACACCGAATAGAACACCTGCAGTAAGAGACAAGTTGAGACAGACATTGCTTGCAGTAAGAGACAAGTTGAGACAGACATTGCCTGCAGTAAGAGACAAGTTGAGACAGACATTGCCTGCAGTAAGAGACAAGTTGAGACAGACATTGCCTGCAGTAAGAGACAAGTTCAGGCAGACATTGCCTGCAGTAAGAGACAAGTTGAGACAGACATTGCCTGCAGTGAGAAGCACGAGAGAGACAAGTTCAGGCAGACATTGCCTGCAGTAAGAGACAAGTTGAGACAGACATTGCCTGCAGTAAGAGACAAGTTGAGACAGACATTGCCTGCAGTGAGAAGTTGTACATCCCTGTATGGGTGAGGGGGTGAGGAGGTGTCTACCCCACAAAAGTAAAAAAAAATAAAAATGAACAGGATGTCCCTTCATAGGGAGCGAAACCCTGACAGCCTGCCTGCATGAAGTCTGCTGCGGTGTGCGATTGTGAACGGGTTATGATGCGAAACCTGCTCTACGGCATCATGCAATTTCATCACCAATTACCAAACAAACCCCCAAATTACAAACACAAACAAAAAAGAGTAAAAAATTACACTTATACAATACGAAAATATAAATTATGTGCAGATTATTTTATAAGAAGATGACTGCATTTTTATAGATATTTCGTGCAGTGCTTGTAAAACTCAAGCCACATTGCAAAGATCATCGTCGAATATGTAACTGCATTTTCACAAATCCAGCATCTACAGATATTGGCAACTGATTTGGTTAGTGGTGGCTAAAATTGTCTGAATTCATGCAGAGATTTATGAGACAACACGGATCTAGAAGTTACAAGTACCTAATGGATGATTCCTGCCCCCATTCAGTATACGTTGGCCAACCTTAAGTACCCATGAAACACCTGGATTATCGTTTTTAAACTGTTTGGTACTCTGAGGCAGGTTCCACAATAGCAGGTTCGGATGACCTTGGCTACAGTCATAACCTCCCATTGGTATTGCCTCGTTCTGCACCTTCTCATGGAATGGATGGGTTTCTTTTACCTGTAGAAAGAAGAATAGATTAGCAACAAAGCAAGACAGGAAAGGATCAGCTATGGATAATTGGTCCTAAAATGGTTGTTGTAGATATTTTATTATCAAAAATTAAAACAGCTTACGGTGAAGTTTTCCACTTTGAAGTTATTCGTCGCATATGGCAACAGCAAATGCTCGTGACGTTGTATGTAAGCTCTCACGTCATCTATACTGTGAATACCTACAGACATAAAACATTATTAGAATACACAGGAGTCATGACACACAAAAGCAAAAAAGATTAGACCAGGAATGAATACAAACAAATTTGTTTTTAATCATTCCTCGTTAGATAGTAAACATCAATGTTTACCGTCGCTGCCTGAGAGGTATTGTTTTCAACCCGTCAGTAATTATTACATAATATCGTATAGAATGACAGAATAAGCTAAATAACATACTAAAATGCCCTAAACATGTATTCTTACATATACGTATATATATATTATACATGTATATGGGATACACATGTTCATGATAATGTTGAATGGGTCTGAAAATTAAGCTGCCTAGCAGACTATAATTGTGAATATTATAGTCTGTATTATAACCTCTTAAAACACTAGGTCCTATAATACTAAACACTATTACGTCAAACCACCGTATTTACTTGTGCACATAAGAAGCATTCATGTATAAGTTGTACCCCATATTATGCCTTGAAAAGTTGGTACAAACATTGGTACAGTAAGTTTGAACAACATTTTTTAGCCTCGTGTATAAGTCGCACCCCTGATTTTTTTTATTGAAGTTGTGTACAAAAAAGTGTGACTTATATACAAGTAAATACGATACAAAAATTTGAAGGGTGGTGTAACCTACCTTTCCTCCTCAGTTCACATATTTCTTCGTAAAGATGAAGAGCATGCATCTTTTTAATTTTCATCGATTCTAGGATATCAACGGTCAAATGGTTCACAAGATATTTTCCTGTAACTCCTGCCCTTAAATCAGGTAAAAATGGTGCTTGACGATAAATGGACCAAAAATGTTAGAGTGATTTTATCAGATTCATTATATCAGTTTTGTAGACAACAAGATATTCTAAAGGTATTTTGCAGATCTATTTCATAGATACCTATTTTGTATATTTTTAGACACTTACTCCACAAAATTTTGGCTGTATTGACCTAAGCCATCTGGCAAACGGTGAAGCCATTGTTTCACATCTTCTTCAGTCCATTCCAGAACGGGATCACATTTAGCCTCATGATTCACCTTGCTCTCATACAAGACCTGCAAATAAGTTTGATTCAAGAAATGTCAAGTTTGGCGGCTATACTAGAAATTACAGGTTCCTGTTAGAGCAAAGCATGAGTAAAATAGAAAAACACACGGTTCTTAACCGTGGTGCACACAAGCAACATTCCATCTATATATATTCCATAGTAATTTAGGAAATATTTTCTTCTTATATTTAATTTGTTTCCAAGAAATTCCACGTAATCTTCTACAGCACAACATACACGATGAAATACTTACTGTAACAGCATCATTGTTATTGGTGTTTGGAATGGCATTTGAGCTCTCATTTGCAAAACCTCTTTTTTCGTCCGACTTTTGCGATGGAAAAAAGTCTGTCATTTTTGGTTGTGGAGAATACCGCTTGTCTTTCCCTGTGGATAAAAAAATACCTTTACTTAATTCATAAAACCTTAAACTTCTAACCAACTAACTAAACCAACTTCTTTAAGCAAAGAACCTGTCTAACTTGTAGGTGGCATGATTCTCAGGGTTGTTATTAAAGTGCTAAAAGGGGCACCTCTACCTCTACCTCGACATGATTGCATGGCAAATTAATGAGTAAACATGTTTGAACTGTAATTGATACATATATATATATATATATATATATCTTATCTCTAAACATGAGACATGGTAAAAAAACACGCATTGCACTTCATGAGCCTCTGGATTATATAGCTCAGATTAAATAGATCATACTTCTGAAGGTCTGAGGACTGTGAGGTGCCTCCATGTTCTGTGTTACGGAGCATGAAATGCAGAGCATAGGATTATACTATAGCCTGCACATATCTAGACGATCTGCAGCCGGATATCCGCGCGAAGCGCTCAAACGCCGCGTAGCGGCCACTTTTGCAATTTCGCTGCCCTCTACCCAACGCAAGTACTCAGTTCCTTTCCTAGGGTTAGCTTGAAGCCGGCTTTTCGCTGAATTGAGCAGTTCTGCCCATTGCACGAGGGATCGCACTACCCAGTTAGGTAGAGACGGGCTAGAAAAGCTCCCAAATTTTTGTAGGCTACTAGGCGCGCTTTCTTTGCTGTAATAACGGAGTTTTTTGTTGACATTGTAACAATATATAGCGCTTATGCGTAGCGTTGACTGGCTGAGTTTAGAGGATACGATATATAGGAATTCGTCTTCGCTATTCGTAATAATCACAGTTACCCAGCTAACACATAACGTTCCCACAACGTTGCTGGAATGTTGTAGTTTGGTCGGGTCAGGAATAACGTTGCAGCAACGTTCCAGAAACGTACCACACGAACGTTACACTCAAACCTTCTCACAACGTTATGTAGTAACGTTGTAAAAACGTTATTAGGACGTTTACATATTTTTCTATAGTTAATTAGCATCTGTATATACAATATCATATGTTAATGTAAAACCGTTATTAATTATGGCAGGGT